TTGAATATCTTTATTTCATGTTCGCATCTGTTTCTTTCATTTACCTGATATCGAAATCTGCGTATTTCTTTTTCTCACATTCAATATGCTTCTCTCATTTACTTCGCGTTCGCTTCATGGATTTCATATCCAACTCAGTGTAATTTGCGCTCACATCCGCATATGTTGTTTGCATCTGTGAAAAGGATGGACTGAACGGGGGTGAATATTAAATAGCAAAAATATATATATAAGCGTGAAACAAGTGGGTAAAACAGTGCTCAGCCCAACACTCGCACACAGCAACAGCAGCATCCGCAGCTTCAGTAGCAACAGCAACTGCAGCAGCAATAGCAGCAGCAACCTCAACACTGCGTCTGTGTTTTTCCTGTGTCTCCTAGATTGCTCTTCCCCTGCTGTTTCTGCTGCATTGGCTATGACCCCGAAAGAGAACATGAGCGTTGCAACTACCAAGTGCCTTAAACCCTAATCTTCGGGTTTAGGGTTTAGGGTTTGTAGGGCTAAGACGTAAGCCCTTAAACCCTAAATCGTTACCGTGAAGCCCTCGGGTTTGTTTGCTTGGGTTGCAAACCTAGGGTTTCCTACCGGATCTTATTCNTCGGCTCTATGCCCCAGGCATCAAATCTCACCACCACGCTCTAAACCCTAAACCCTAAGCGCCAAACCCCAAGCCCTAGGACGTCAACCTCCTGGAGGGGTTTTTCGGCCTAGGCCCCAGAGCACAAGGATTAGTCCCTCAGAAGAGAAGCTTCAGACTTTGGGGTTTAGGATTTAGTGCTTAGGGTCTAGGTTATAGGGTTTAGGGTTAAGGGTTAAGGGTTAAGTGTTTAGGGTTTGTATGGTTGCACAGACAATCGACTTCAGGGATCCATTCTTTCGGGCCACGAACTGGAAGGCGGCGGCTCCAGCAGGGGTCCCCGCCCCTGGTTCGAGGCAGCAACAGCGAGTCGTGCTTGTCTCCTGTCTCCTGCGTGCAGCAGATATGTTATTATAAGGTCTTCAGGAAACACGTCTGCTGCTGTCAAGCTACAGAGACACCTCACCTTTTTCCTGCTAGCCTATGGATGCCAGCAGTGCCAGCGACAGCAGCAGCAGCAGCAATACCAACAGTGTCTGCAACAGTAACGACTGCAGTGCAGCAGCAGCAGCAGCAGCAACAGCAGCAGCAGCAGCAGGGGTGATGCGCTGTGTTATATATTTGCTGCCTCCTTGCGTGCAGCGGATGCACTACTTGCCCCTCGTTCTCGCCCCTCTCAGATGTGTCAACTATGCGATATTCAGGACTGCGATATTTGTCAGCTGCAGTAGGCCGCTGTGCTGCCGACATTCAGCAACGAGGCAGGTGCTGCTGCTGCTGCTGTTGCTGCTGCTGCGGCTGCTGCTTGGAGTGCTGCTGCTGTTGCTGCACGCCGTGCTGCTGCTGCGCTGGGTACCGCTGCCTCTGTTTCTGCTGCTGCTGCTGCTGTTGCCGCGATCCCTTCTGCTGTCGATCAAATGCTGCTGCTTTTGTGGCTCTTACTGCGGCCGTTGCTGCTGCTGCTGCGGCGGCGGGAATGGAGAGACAGTGTCATGCAGCTGCAGGCTGGCACCGTAAGGGGATTTTCAAACGATTCGTGCCCTCATGGTCCTCAATAGCAGAGACATACGAACGGCAGAAGGCGAGCAGCAGCTGCTGCAGTAGTAGCACAAACAGCAGCAACAACAGCCACAACAGCAGGCGGATTAAAACGCCGTAGCAGCAGCAGGATATAACAGCTGCTGATGCATTAGCAGCAGCAGCAGCATTAACAGCAGCTCTTGATGCTGTTGCAACAGCAGCAGTAGTAGTAACAGCAACTGGTGATGCTGTGGCATCCGCAACAGCAGCAGTGAGCAGCAGCAGCAGCAGTAGTAATAGTAGTATCAGCAGCTAGTGATGCTGTAGCAGCAGCAGCTGCTGCTCTTTGCATTCACCGTCTTCTGCATGCAGTTGCAGCATAGTGTTTGTACTTTGGCCACTATAAAAGCCCGATACAGCAACAACTTTTATGCTCACCCTGCTGCAGCAGCACGTATGGCGAGGCTGTCTTCTTCTGTCTCCTTCTGTCTCTGTCTCCTCATCTCCCCTCCTGTTTCATTATGTCTCCTCCTGCCTCCCCCTGTCTCCTCCTATCTCCTATGTCTATCTCCTCTTGTCTCCTTCCTCCTCTGTCTGTTCGATGTACTTCTGGCCGGAGACGACTACAAAGGCAATTAGCACTGAAGAGACAGCCAGAAGCGGATAAGCTCCACCTAATGCATGCAGGTGCATGCAAACGGGGTCAATTGCGTGCAGCAATGCATGCAGATGCATGCATGCGTTTGTCCCTGCAGCAAAAAAAGCCGAGGCGCAGCGCAGCTGCACAGACTCGCTGCCGTCCCCACGGAGACAAACCGCAGCAGAGGTAGCATACATACCCTGCTTATACCCACGTAGCTAGCTAGCCAGCCAAGCACCCAGCTCCCAACTTACTTAGCTACCCAGGACGCGGCACCGAGCTAGCTAGCTAGATGGATATGCTGATAGGTTGCTAGCTAGCGTTACAGCTAACTAGGTAGGTAACTCGCTAGCTAGACTTGCGCCTGGCCTTGCATCCCCCTAGTGTGTTCGGCTTGAAGAGCTGGTTAGCTAGCTTCATACATCACTGCCTCGCTGGATGACGTGCTAGCTAGCTAGGTACTTGATCACGCCAGTTCTATAGCTACTAGGCTAGCTATCCAGCCAGCTAGCTAGCCAGCTAGCTAGCTAGCTAGCTTGCTAGCTAGGTAAGTTTGTGCCTCATATGGAACGCGTATCCGTTTGAAAGGAAAATAAAGTTAAACGCCGCGCGCGGCGGCGAAAAGAACTAATGGCTGAAAAATGAAAGCCGAGGAGACAAGGAATGATTGGCTGCTTGCATGCATGCATGATAGGAGACACCAAGAGGTCTGAGGCCTCTGGAGGATGCGTGCAAAATGTTAGCACGCCGGTGTCCGGGTGTACGTACACTTAAACTCCACGCATGCAGCCAATGGCTTCCTTCAGCCCCCGAGAGACGCTCCAGTGGGCCAGCTGCTAAGCCCTAAACCCTAAACCCTAAACCCTAGACCCTGCAGTTTAGAGGGGGGGTATGAAGCTGCCCCTGCGTCTGGCTTCAGGGTTATAGGGGAATACAGAAGCAGCTAGCGAAACAAAAACCCTAAACCCTGTCACGCATACATGCATATCTATCAGCACCCGAAGCCTTCATTATAAATATATTATNTATATTATATATAGAAGGCCGTGAAGGGGAAGGGGCTGAAGGGACGGAGTTCGTCTGCGGGCCCTGGCTGTTGGGGGCTATAAGAAGGCCGATATAATATTCAGTTGGATTCTTGATTGCATGCATGCATGCGTGTAAGCATGCATGCACTGATGCATGCATGCATGAATCCATGCCTTTGATTGGCTGCATGCATGCACGCATGCATGGATGGTTGCATGCATGGATGCATGGATGCATGAGTTTCTGTTGCTTCACTGCTGCTGTAGGAGGAGAGGAGAACTGTCACCATCTGCGCATGCCGAGTATGCGCAAGACGGCAATATTGTATAATATTTTATTTCTTATTTTTAATTTATCTTATATTTATCATCGTCATCATCAGCAGCAGCAGCATCAGGCCGAAATACGGATTGTATATTGATTGGTGTGGTAGTTCGCTGGTTAGTTAGGGGGTTCATCAAGGAGATCCATCTCAACCTCTTCCGCAGGTAGAGGGAGGCCATGGGTCATAAGATAACCAGAGACAAAAAGAACACCAAGGAATACACAAACCTTAACAAGAGGAGACATCTCTTTGTTTAATTTATTTATTGTTGCTCGCGTAGGTAAGAATGTTGGACCTATAGTAAAATTCTGTACGTGAGGTAAAGAATCCATTGCATCAGGTGATAGATTCAACCCTTCATCTCCTTCACCTTCTTTTCCCTCTTCCGCTGCATCCCCTACACCTGCAGCAGCAGCAGCAGCTCCCGCTCCTTCCTCCTGCGGAGCCGCCTCTGCTACTGGGGCAGGGCCGCTAATAGGCACCAGCACCTGCAGCAGCAACAGCAAAAGCGCTGCTGCTGCAGCAGACCTTAACACCCATACCATTGCGTTTAGCTCCCCTCTATAGAACCACAACAGCTGCAGCAGGGGTCCTAGATGATGGAGCGTGATGCTGCTGCTGCTGCGTGCCCTGTGGCTTGTAGCCGAGGACTCTGGATATGTTGCAGCAGCAGGTTGTACAAGCCTTCTGCTCGCTTTGAAACACAAAAAAAAGAAAAAAAAGGCAATTAAATCAACGCTCACATCACAATGCAACTGCAATGACAACAAGAACCAACGGGCATGCAACTACCCATGGGCGAGGCCCCGATACCATCACCCCACGAATACAACTCCAGTACATACCAAGCGGCAGACGCCTCCTTTTGTATTCCACCCCCACTTCATACATAATATTTGTTTTAATTAATTAATTAATCTTAATTTTAATCTCTTTTAAGGCAATTTACTTCTTCCTAATTCTCGGAAACCCCACCTGCACAGAGCTGCAGCAACCAGGCGCACAAGAAAAGAGGCAGCCACGGTGTACAGAGGCCCGCGTTGCTGCATCGGAGATGCAAAGGAATAAAAATACACAAAAATGCATTAAGATGCAACCAAATACATTTCAATACATTTAAATTCATAAAAATTAACATAAAGAACCCCCCTACAGTCTCTTAGCCCCCTGTGCAGTGCATAGAGCCGTCGTTCGCTCCAACAAATAGACGAAGTGGCGAGGCTTGCGTGTGTTCGATTGTTGCCAGGAGCTGCAGCCGATTCGATAGGCTTGAGATAATACATATATCAACAAGGGGAAAATATTTAATTTATTATATTTAACAACAGAATCAGTACCCTCAGAGTATGAATAGCAGAAGATGTAGGGCCGCAACATATATGATGATAAACAACGTAGGTAATGTACTTCAGATAATATGCACAACAATAGAATCGAAGTGAATAATATGATACAGAAAAATATTAAAATCAGAATACCTGCGAAGAAACTTGCCACGTGATGTATCGCGGCCCACGGGCCCGTGCCCGGGAGCGGAGAGGCGGCGTGGCACACATGAGTTGCAAAACACCAGTTGCAACCAAGGCTGCAACGCAGAACGAAACGTAAGCGAGAACGTCGACAATTCTCTGTGTGCACTGACGCTGCACTGTAGAGAACTGATTGGCGCTAACTTGTACGGAACCTACACTAACGCAGAAGTGTGTGTGCCAAGATGCGAAAAACGACCCTACAACCCTTAATATAAAAGTTCCCGAAAAGCGGATGAAAACCTCCCCTCCAGTTCCCAGCCCTCCTGTTTACCGTAGCACAAAGGCTTGGCACTGGATCGGTGTTGCTACAGCTGCACTTGCTGCAGTTGCAGCTTCCGATTGTTTGCTACTGCGGCTGCGAACATTGGTTTAGATAGGCACCTCGAAAAAGTATGAATGAGAGGAGTCTTCGAAAAAAGATAAATAAGACCAAATCGTCGAGAAAGGAAATCCAGCGAACTAAGAAAACATCTGGAGCTCGCAGCAGCAGGCACAGTTGAGGCCTACGCAGGACCCAATGCAGCACAGCAATATTCCGCTGTTCGTAAAGGCAACTTGCCCTCTGTGGATTACAGTAAGTGATCATCCATCTGAAATACAACAAATGGTATGGGAAAATGGAGAGGCAGCAAGCGTTGCCGATGTGCCACAGAATAGTCGCCGCGGCGGAACCCAAGGCAACAAATTCACCTTTCTGCAATTCGTGAACGCCTTCGCATACCGCCCGCGGCGCCTCTTCTACAGCAGATCCAGTGCCAGTCCTATGGCCGCTGGTGTTGTCGATGCAGCTGGTGTTGCTTACCGTATGATGCAGCGGCATTGAGGGCCTGCCGCCAGCGAATGCGTTGGGAGAGCCTCTTTGAAGGCTCTCCCAACGCATTCGCTGGCCACAGGTGTGAAGGTGCCATGAGCAGCAGCGCCGAGATAGCCTCATTTAAAGGGGGAAGTAAGAGGAAACACGGAAAATGTTGGCGCCGGAAGCCATAAAGAAAACAATATATAAGCCCCTATACATGCCCAGTGGTGCAGTTGCCCAGAGAAATGACGACGGCGCATAC